CCCCCCCCCCCCCCCCGGTATAACCTACTCTAGTTATAAGCCTCCCCGCTGACTGAAAGATCTCCTAAGTTTTTTAATTTGCATATAAACCTAAGTTTTATAACGGTTTATAACCCGAGAATAATGGTCTACATCTTGGGGACCGTTCGCATAGGCCGATTTTTACTACATCAACGTTTTAACATGGGTCAACATGGCTCCAAGGCATTCACGGCACAATTGCAATTTTTTTGGTTTCTTTTGTCCCTCAGTTCCAAACGAGACTTAAATATATCGGATCTGGTCTGTTACAAATCGACTATGTAAATGAGATAACTATTCTTGAGTTCAATTCTGTTCCATCAGCTATCAGCGAATAGTCAAGATTTTTTAATTAAAAAAAAATTGTTAAAAAAAATGCAACATGGAATTTGTTTAAACATTTCACATGTGCCCTTCTGACGCTCTAAATTCTCTAAAGAGCTTTATAAAAGTTGAGGATTAAAAAGGATTAAAAGCCTGATTGATATTAAACATGACACATTCCCTCCCGCATAAAAAAAACAAAATTAAAATCTGCCCGGGATTAGGCGGATTTTTTATGAAATGTGTTCGTGCATCCATTCATTAATAATTTTGATTCGTTTCTAAAGTAAATTGCAACTTCACTGGATTCCTAACCCGCTCTTGAATTCTCTTATAAGAGCATTCATTCGAGAATTGCACCATGAGAAGTGATACCTTTATAAATAAATATTGGAAGAAAACGTGTGCTTTGAGGGCATAATTTGACGACTGCCGTTGTTGCTAGAGAGGGGTCAGCGGGCCAGACAAGTTCCTTTTCAGAGTTCCTTCATATCTTAATCATAACGTAATTGCTACCATGGTTACTGATCTTCAAAAATTGCAAATTGAACATGTCATATGATGTCATGGCATTGCTCAATAACGTTGTCTAAAACCATACATTGTATTCATTTAATTAAATAAAGCAATGTTTGGACAATTTTCTCCCACGTTATTTCGAATTATGGAGAAGAAACCCGTCAAGAGATAGTACGCAAGGCACACTTCCTCGTCGGGTAGAACACAGTCAGGCTTCGTTTCCAGACCTCATCATTTCTAAGAAAAGAAAATAGTTCCCTAGCGATGCAACTGCAAAGTTCCAGCTAGGAAATCACTTTGTCTTCAAATCGTCAGAAAATCAAGTCCAAGCTAGCAGTTATGTCATAAAGCTCAAAAACTTGTATAGAATTAAGCATTTTTGATACGTGATCACCGATTGTTTATCATTTTGTAGATACCACATTAGTCTTGTGATTCTAAGACCCGACTGCCCATCCACCGAGTCTCGTGACTTCATGTTGTTTATCTTAGTTTATCAAGAATACTTACCCCCGAACAATACCCCATCGATGGTCATGTTTGGGTTTGTCAACTGGCCTTGGTCTGAATCTCCCACAAAGATCCTGTTTAGGTTTCTTGTTCTCTAAACTTTAGTTTCTATTAGCTGTTTCAAGAACTTTTTAGTTCACTTCTGAAAGCCGTGTAATAGTGTTTGGGTTAATATTCTAAAAATAGATGTTTAATCTTCCAAGGTCAGTTCGTCCCATGTGGCCCACACATAGCTACCGATAGGTTATTTAAGTACGTGTACATTTGTTAATCAAGTAGTGGTTCTTGAGGAGAAACGCCTTTAGTAGTAGAAGCAGATGTAGAACTAAGACGGAGAAGTCCAAGGAACAAAAGCCCCAGAGACCAGTTTCGGTACCTCCTCGCTTAGTGGATAAAGAGAGATATCCAATAGTTATATCAGAGACGATATACATGAAGGTGGGACGATTTGAGTGTGGGGCTCCCTAGTGGTCACTAAATGAGAGATGGATCTTTACACGCGAAAACCCCACACCAAATCGTGGAGGTAGAGTGAGAAGTATCTTATTCTTCTACGGTCACCGTTTAAAATAACCTTGAAATATGGACACAGGGGACCATAGATTGACAGCTAACATTGTTGAGAATAATATGCCCCATTTTATTTCATTACTGCTGTTCTTTCATATATAACAAAAAGGCACAAGAAATGCGAAGACAGGGCAAAAATGCCTCAAACTATGACCCGCTAGTGGGCCAGGGTCAAGTCCGAATAGAGTGAAATAATTTACTTCCAAGACGTTCTTATACTTTCCTGGGCTGACACAACCTTTCTTTTTGTTTAAATAACTCCCGAAAACGAATAAAAAAGTTTTTTTTTCGTGGATTAAGTGAAAGCTAGAAACTAGTTATTTCCTTTCTGTTCTACTTTTATAAAACGAAATAAAAAAAGCAACTAAAAATTTGTCCTCAATATCATCCAGCATTATACTAGCTTTCGTCGTCATTTTTTTCCCGTGGAGGTAAAATAATTCAATGCCATTGATTATGAATTACAAGTTAACAATGTTATGACGTCATTAATCACGAGGTTTCACCTGAAAAACAGCTGACGTCATCGTTCAGGAGGAGCATCCAGAATAGTCATTGATCACTATATATCATTCAGCAAGACTGATATTGTATTTATATTCACCGTACCTAAATTCGCAATGAGCCTATCAGAAGCCAGTCCTGATATCCTGCGATATCAAGTTACTGACCAGATATGGCTACGATATTATGCTCACGTGGCCGAATTTGGGTACGGTAAATGCCTACTTGTACCTTTTTGGCTGACGACTGACTCAAGCTTTCTCACAAGTCTGGAAGTCCATTTTGCTTCCAGATCTTCATGATTACTTCATTTCGGTGACGAACGGCCAGTGAAACCTTTCACTGTTTTTCGTTCGGACCACGTGACCCGAATGTACTGACTACGGTGAAAGTTTTAGGCCTAGAAACTAGGAAAGGTTTTACCAAGGGTCGTAATTGCACAGGGCGTTAGCTATTACATTACTGATAGCATTCTCCACCACTCCTCCGCAGTCCCCTCTCTCCATCCTCTTGGCATAATGTGTCTGATCATGGGTGGCGCCTATTCGACTGTTTGAAATCTGGAATGCGTCAATGATCTGGACGCCACTGTCCCTGATAGCCTGGTCTGTCAGACCATTGAACTGTGCCACGCGAGCCGGGGATGGATTTTCTAGCCATTCGATCATGGCGCGATCCTCTCTCCATGGTAAGCTAACCGTGTTCACCCAGAGAAATCGCTTGACCCCTCCTTCAGAGCGATTCATTGCTTGAATTGCCTGTGTAAAGGCGCGGATTTTATCAGCCATGAATGATGTCTTTGTACTTTCTCGCAAAACCCAATGTCCAAAGTTCATAAAAAAGAGTTTGCCGCTAAATACAGTCGAAGGTAGACCCTTAGAGAACATAGACCGTCTGGTTCTCGGGTGAACGTACACTTCGTGAGGCATTGAGATGTTGGGAAAGGTGAGGGGCCAACGCGTTCCACGCGCGTCGAACACCCACTCAATGCGTGGGATCTTTTCAAACACCATCTTGATGTGCGTCTTAGTACAGCCGTGACAGGAGCCGTGTAAACGCGTCACCCAGTGATATGTTCTATATCGCATGTGCGAGTCACCAGTGAACACGACCTCTGACCAACCTTGCTTGGCAAAGCATTTCTTGATCTCGTCGCTACTGTAATGATGCAACTGGCAGAAGTAAGGCAGCCAGTGAAAACCGTGGATTTGATCAAAATCATAAACAGGATCAAGCTGCCACTGGCCGCATCTCTCGACACCTGGAATACTACCACACTCAACCCATCTCCCTGGGGCAATTCCGCTCTCTTCTTGAGTGCAGTATCGGGTGTATCCCTGGGGTTCAGGGCCTGAAGTAACGGGTAGGTCAAAGGGGCTGTTCTGTACATGTTGCAGAACGGCCTTCGTATGATATCGATACTCAAGACTGTCGTTATTAACGTAGGTTAAGATAACCAGGATTATATACTCATCCGCAAATGTTAACCGCAGGGTAGCATTGTAAATGTCATCACCAATGTGAGTCACGCTGCCCGTGACCATTTCTTGTGAGCCAAACGCCTGGAGGCGAAAGTTCGAGCCTCCCGCTCCTTTGTCACGAATGGCATTTCGTGCGTCAACGTTACATTTGTCGTTGGGTGTTGGACTGATGGTGAACGATATAAGCTGCCATGCTTGCGCTCCCTGTGGAGGTTGCACTGTGTAGAGGCAGCCCAAGTCAAGAGCTGGTTGGGCTGGTTTCTTCACGGGTTCATGTCGCTTCCAAAGCTCCTTGAATAAGACAGCGAGTGTAGTGATAAGAAGAAACAGAAAAAGAACACGGACTGGTCTGAAGCAGCCTTTGATGTATTCCCCTGTCGCTCCCTTCTTCATTACACGCCCCTCTCTCTTTGGGGCCTCCTTCAATCTGTACGAGGAAAGCAAAACAGTTTTTTTTTAAAGAAAAATGACAAAACACATACATTACTTTCAATACGAGCTATTTACACCACTATCAATGCTTTTCTTACAATACAATACATTACTTGCCATATGGAAAGCAAAACAGTTAGCTGTCAGAGTCTTCTAAATGAATTAAAGCGCTCGGTTTCATTGTGGCATGTCGTACGTTTTTTTTTTTTCAAGGGAGGTATTGTCTTTCGACCCCGCCACTCGTCCAATTTTTTAAACTAGATTTCGGGCGCTGAGGTAAAAGAGGTTTTCACTTCCTAGCACCATAGTAGTGCTTAGTTAGTTACATTTTAGCAAGTCCAGTCCATAAGCAAAGCTATAGGAGAAATTCGACTCGTCATTTTTAATTTAATCGACCTTATTTGCATCACAGGGATGGTCGAAAAATGGCGCTAGAACAGCAGACATGGTACACAATTATTCGTGGTTTCCTCGAGGATCTCAGTAAATTATAACAATTTACCGGCTTGGTTACCTAGTGTGAATTAACCGACAAAAGACGATTATGAATGAAACGTTGTGGATTAATGTTCCACGGCCTACAAATGTCCGGAAGGTTGTCCTATTAGTTCCGTCAGGTTTGCGCTTTTGCCTTAACTGGTTCTCTTTTCTTGGCTCGACTTCTGTCGGTTTTTCACGTTTCTTTTGTTGTCCAGCTTTCCTCCCTATCACAGGTTTGACCGGGAGGTTTGACCATAACTCTTCTCCTAAAGCCTAGCGTTCTCGGATCATGATTAGAAACGTTTGACGGTTTAAACGGCATCGAGCGAAAACTTACCAATCTGTGAATTTCTGGTTCTTCTAAGCTGTATATTTGTTTAACGAGAATGAATTCAGATTCCAGCTATACAGTCGAAGAGGAGTCACAGTTCAAGCTTATGGTTCCTGAATCGAACTATTGCAGCACCTCTCGTGAGGGATCACTGAGTTCTTTTAGTGGTAACACGAACTCTTCATTGGTAGCCTTAAATGTCACAAGGAGGACACTTCCCATACACTCTTTCTTTTTTATAAGAATATTGTTTTTCCGGCCCAGGCTGAATATCCCTATTTTTCTGCCGATTTTAGGCTGAAAATATTCTTGTGGTATTCTTTAAATTATAGCATATGACATTTCCGTTTAAGGATGTCTAGGGGTATCAATTACAAGTGTTTGGTGTTTAGTTCATGTCTTTTGCATTGTACATATTTTGTGTTGCACAAATACATTAAATGTACCGCTTATCATTGAACATTTGGCTATCGCTAGTGAAGAGTGTTCTGTTTGTTGGCCAGTTTTGCCGTTTAGCGAAAGGAATAATTTTATACAATTAAGTAAAAACATATCATTGTATTGTATTTACAGATTTTCAACGCACGAAATTATATTCTTTTCACAATTTCAGCCTCAGATTTATTCTTAAAATATTCTTAAAATTTCGCAAATTTCAGCCTCCATGTTCTTATAAAATATATTCTTATAAAAAAGAAAGAGTGTAACGGGCCGAGTAGGTATGGTTCCTTCGGTATCCTCAGATAACGTTAATTTCAAAACCCATTTCGCCCTAATAAGGTTTCCTTAACGTGAGGTTGGACGTTCTTTGATTGTATTTAAAATGATTACGCTCCTCGATATAGATCGTTGCGCTTCACAAGGTACAACTCAAGTAACCAAACCAGTTTAGCTACATATCCGAATAAGATCGATCGCGAGTCATTTAGTAACTACAAATAGCAGGAGCTCATTACCTGCAAATACTTAGTCAGCCTATACTGAGCTCCTCAGCAAAGTAAATTGTTTAAATTGATTTTAAGTGATTTTTTTTAGGTTTACTGAGATACTTTAACTGGGCATTAACCGGTCCGATCGGTAAAATTAAATGTCTACCTGGATCTTCTAAACACACGCACGTAGTGCACATCACACCGCTTTCTAAATAATTACCGTCTTCAGATCTTCATCTGTCAGCAAATTCATTATTGCCCGTTTTAAGATATTTATCGACAGTGAGTAGCTTAGGCTACTCTTTGCAATAGATGCTATTTGTTAATAAAAGTGCATTCACGCTTGTTAAGCTTAGATCAATACTGTGTCGCAAAATAAATAGGTTTACCTTAAAGAACTGTTAAGCCCACGAATCATAAGCGAAACGTATTTACAAGAACATAATTTCTCGCTCGCTGGTTTTTGTGGATCATAAAGCCAACGACTCTCAAAGACCGTTTTTGAAAACTATAGTTTGGGCAAAACCACACAATTTCAATCAAAATTGACTTACCAGCGAAATGATTGATATTTCGTTTCTACTTCGGGAAACACCTCTTGTCATAAACACAAAGATCCATCCACGTTTACGCTGACTCAAAATGAAATCAACTTTTTGTTGACGAGTGTTTTTCTTTCATAAAAATCTCGAATTTGGAATTGTGTTTTGATGTGAAACTTTAGCACGAGGTTCTCATTGTGCGCCCGCAGTGCTATTTTATTATTTATAATAAAAGGGATTCATTGAATGCGCAGCGACCTGTGACGTTTAACTGGTACCTGCTGTATGCTTCGGTCCAAGCTCCCCAGCATTGCGTTGAAAACTGGTGATTTTGCCACTGGGCACGTCGCATGCGTTCAACTGTTACATATCACTGCGTCACAACCTCCATTCACTGGCTTTTTGTAAGTTACCGTGAATGATCCCTGGATCATTCGTCCATTCAATTTTTGTTTAAAGTCAAAAATTGAAAATTGATGTCAATTTTTGATTTTCATGATTTTTTATCGTAAAAAATAAGAAAGTGCCAAATCGAAAATATTTGACTTTTTTCCTTTCGGTAGAACATTGAAACAGAACTTTTATTTTTACTTTAATCCTGTCAACAATGACGAGAAAAATGAAACTGAGCGGCTATTTTGTTTCTCTGTTTTCGACGGAAGTCTAAAAATTGAAAATTGAAAGTTGCAATCAATTTTCAATTTTTGTTTTTCGGCCAAAACATTCCAAATCATTGACAGAACTACCCCAAAGGGAGAGGGAGGGGTCTATTCACATGGTAAATATTGCAATTTTCAATTTCAATTTTTAGACTTCCGTCGAAATCAGATAAACTAAGCTATGCCACAGACTGCAACATTGTTGGAGAAACAAAATACCCGCTCAGTTTCATTTTTCTCGTCATTGTTGACAGGATTAAAGTAAAAATATACGTTCTGTATCAATGTTCTACCGAGAGGAATAAACTCAAATATTTTCGATTTGGCACTTTCTTATTTTTTACGATAAAAAATCATGAAAATCAAAAATTGACATCAATTTTCAATTTTTGACTTTAAACAAAAATTGAATGGACGAATGATCCAGGGATCATTCACGGTAAGGAAAAAAGTCAAATATTTTCGATTTGGCACTTTCTTATTTTTTACGATAAAAAGTCATGAAAATCAAAAATTGACATCAATTTTCAATTTTTGACTTTAAACAGAAATTGAATGGACGAATGACCCACGGACCGTAAATCCTCCCTCAGGAAGTCTTTAGGAGAGGAAGGGGGGCGCTTATTTGAGGGAGGCACTTTATCGAGGGGGGGGGGGGGGGGTCGCTCATTTCATTTTTCCCAAATCGTGGAAAAAACTTCATCCGCGCGTAAACAACAACATAAACTGTTCATCGACATAAAAGGCTGATCCTAAAGTTCAAATCGCGGCACCGTTGGCGCTAGCACTTGTAATTTTTTTCCAAACTTAACGTGTTCACAAACTGAAACAATGTGCAAATCTAATACCACACGACGAAAACTATACAATCTTTGTTGTCTCATTACTCGTCTAAAAAACGGGGGGAAGGGCAGGAGGAGGGGGCGCTCATTCGAGGGGGGCAGGGCGCCTACTTTAAATCTTGGCTGATACCAGGGGCGCTTACTCGAAGGGGGCGCTTATTCGAGGGGGACGTTAATTCGAGGATTTACGGTATTGCATCTAAAAGCATCCGGCCCCCTCCCCCTTATTTTGGGCAAAAAATGAAAAAATCACGGAAGGAAGAAAAGCCGGCAGGGCAAGCAAAACAAAACCGCCCCCCTCCCCCCCGCTTAGTTTAATGTCTGGATCCGCCACTGGCATCGCTTACTTAATGCCACTTTTAAGTATTTAAAGGAGCTCAGTCATGGTATTTTGGGTTAGTTTGGCAACGTACAAAATTTCATTTAAATTGAAGGAAACCTGAAAACAATAGTTTACTAAGATAGAAAACACTTACGAGATACTAATAAACATGAAAGAACAAGGATGGTCAAGGATGGAGAAGTTTTACACGGATTGTAAACGAAAAAGCTCCGATTTTCAGTTTGCTAAATCTATATATTTATGACTTTTTGCTTATACGGTGAGAATTACACACCTGGTTTTGCTTTATCGAATTTTTGCAATAATTCCATTTAAAGATCGACGATTGCACATGAAAACTGTTTAAATTAAAATGCCCAGAGTTGGAAGTTTGGCGTCTTTAGAGAAATCTGTTTGAGATTTGTTCATTAATCGGGATGACCCCACATAATATTAACAATTTCCTTATTTCCACACCTTACAGTGCTTTAAAGCGTATTGTACCATCATAATAAAACATAAGCAGTTGAATAATTTAAATTGGAACTATTATCTGAAGTCTGTAATTGCAGTAGGCGACATACAAAGAGAAAGAACTTGGGTATCAAGCTCGTACCTTTGTTCTAAAACTGTTACACCGGAGGACAATTCTCACAACACGGCGTATCTTTCTGAAAGATGCTCAAAAATAACTTTCATAAATGAACAAATGTTTTCCGGTGTCCAACAAATGATACCTCAAAATCGACCAATAACTCTAATTACTAAAACAATATTAAAAAAGGTTATCTGTTTATTCGATATAACAACTGCTTGACTCCCTTTTCAAATTAGTTTTTTACTGCAGATCAATTTTTCGTGAAAAATATTTCAGGGGTTACATGTATGAAAAATGAGAGAAACTGCTGATATGCGACCGCTGCACAAGAGCCGACTTTCGAAATCTTAGCGAGTAACAATGATGAAAAGTACAACATTTACCTTTTTTCAAAATGTTTAAAACATGGATTCTATTTTCTACAAATAACTGAGTATTTCCACATGTAAACTACTTATCCTGACTACAATAACGTTATTTAGTTATTCAGCATTATAATTTCTGGTTTCTTCCCTCTGTTTAATATGATCTAGATTCCTGGTAACTATCTTACTGACGGTGTTATATTATTTTGCTTCAGGACAAAAGCTGTTTTATAAGCCACTTTATATATGATGAGTCTCGTTAATTGTGCAAATTAGTCGATCTTTGTCATCAAGTGTTCCGAAAGTATCTTTACTTTCCCAGCAATGGATTATAGTATTACACAGCGAATTTCAAATGTAAGAAGAAAAAAAATAAGGGTCTTGAACCTACAAGTAACCTTCTATCAAAATTCAGATCAAATTTTAGGAAACAGTCCAGACTCTAAATTGCAAAAAAAATTTAGCCTATATAAATAAGCGACCCAGGCCGAGGAGATGCATAATAGCCTTAACTGGCTTTGTAAAAACACAGGATAAAACGCATTTTCCATTTTGTAAATACACCCAAACGAAAGAACAAATTTCATGTATTAAAGCTCTCCTGTGGGCGAGGTAAGGTGTTTCCTTTGAATGTCTTCTCTTTGAATGCGTTCTCTTTGACTCGCCCTATGAGTGAACGAGAAAATCTTAAGTTTTTTACTTCTTTCGCCCTTTCCAGTATATCTTGAAAATACCCTTTTACCTTTGTCATTTTAGATGTACCGTTGCGTGCATTTGAGGGGATAACTTTTAATTGCTATGATAGACTTCCCTGTCTCATATGCTAGCGGCAAAGATGGACCACCAGGTTGGCGACAGGAGCCAGGGAAAAAAACTTGCTTCGCTTTCCGACGTGTTCTTACTGCCCAAAGGTAATGATGTTCACAGACTTTTTTTTTATAGTGAATTGGCATCAGTGAAGAGAGCTTCACAGGACTGGATCGTGGATTGGTGAGACTCCCTAAGGGGTCTGTTGCTGCCATGCTCTGCTTCGTCGTGTAACATCAGTCTCCTCAACATTATTTGGCGATCCAAACAATCTTCTTTCCATTTCTTTGGCTCCTTGAAAATCCTTCTTCAAAATCAACTCGATAAAAGCGATTCTAAATTGTTTCTTTCGTACTGTGTAAATGACCGGATTAAGAAGTGAGTTGAAAATCATCGGTAGAACGGATACGTGATAAAAAGAACTTCCCAGAGCGTATGATACACTATGCATTAACCGACCTGTAATGAGCACTAATATGAATGTTGGAACGTAACACAAGCCAATTGCTAATATTATTGTGGTCGTTAACTTTAAGGCTTTCCTCTCCTTTTCAAATTTCGCTCTGGCCTCTAAGGAAACTTGTTGAGAGAGAATCCGTTTTTCGTGCTGACGGGCCTCTTGGTAGACAAGAACTTGAAACAAGACGATCAAAAAAACAATTACTCCTTGAAAAATAAGTGAAATGGCGCGCAAATTTACTAAAACGACTCGTAATGGTACAACACCCCACACAAGGATGGTAGCGGTCATTAGGCGACGTTTAGTGACCACAGTTCCATGAATAAAAGGATGTTTAATGGCCAAATATCGCTCTCCGCTAATTAACGCCAGATGGAAAAGCGATGCAGCGGAGAAACTGAGAAAGGAGATGAGAAATGCCCACATTGCTTTGCAAACATCATTAGCGCTTTTGCCTTGAAGATGAAAAACAGTGGTGGTTATGTGTAGCGGTTGTACAACAAGACCCACCATCAGATCAGTAAGCGCCAAACTTGCCAACAGAATGTTAAGGTGTGTTTGTAGTCTTCGTTTGGTTTTCACGGCCACAATTACCAGGGCGTTAAACAAAACGGTAAAAGGACAAGATAACGATTCAATGACAGCTGCTACGACAAAGAAAACGTCCAAATCACCAAGAAAAAACTGTGGGATGTACTCTGGCATGAGAAAGACTCTGCAACTGTTTTTAGTAACGTTTGAGGTAGAGGTGAAATTCATCTTTCTTCTACATTGAAAGGTAGGATCTCAAATGATTCACCGCAATTTTCGCCTTCAATACTGCAAACTCACGCTGCCGGCTACTTCAAGTTGAGAAATTTTATCCTTTGATGTTCTTTTACAAGGCACCGGCCTGGAAAGTAGGGATTAAATAAATCAGATGTAAAGTTGACAGAAAGCTTAAAGGTCTTTATAGGGGTAAATCAGTTCTTTGGTTTGAATGACACAATGCGGAAATTTTTATTGTATTGAACTACTTTGTATTCAAGTGTCCCATTTTCAACAACGGAGGGGATTTCCTGCAGGATCTCTCCTAAATCAGTTTTACATGTTATTGGGTATACAATTTTGTCGGGTTTTTCCTCTTCAAACAACTTTTCATGTAATTGAAAGTTACCGTTAAAAATTATGTTAAGTTCTAGATTTTGTTGTAGTTCGATTTTGGCGCGAGTTGGAAGTGTTTAAAGGATAGGGAAAGGCAGGGAGGGGTGATGAGAAGCGCGGTAGCGTGGAGAAGCAAGCGAGACTGAAGAGAGACAACATGTTGCAGCTGCC